CAATCTTTAGTCTCTCAGGATAGTGCAGCAGCAACACAATCTTTAGACAGGTTTGCTGTGAAAAAACAAGATAAGCCTTCAAAGAGGAGAAGGCAGAACTTCCTGCCCTGAACTGAAACAAAAAGGCAGGACGGACAGAGAAATGATGATAAAGCAAAGTTTGTGTTTCGTGACATTTTTCGGCCCCATTAGCCAGTCTGTGTAAAACAGATTGCTGTTTCCAAGATAAGAGCCTCAGCGCTTCAAAACAACATACCTGCGGTCAAACCACAGGAGCATGATGGGAGCTGTGTCACCACACACACACACAAAATCTCTGCGTAAATGAAGGATGCGAGTCCCCGCGCGCTGGCCAGTAAATGTTACCATCTGAAAGAATGGGGTCTAGGGATGGTCACAAACGGCTGACTAATTGATAAGCGAGGTCAATGAACTGAGATTTGTTCTGTTTTGGTGGCGATGCTTTAATTAGCATGCTGACAGTGTTCTGGGTTTAAGCCGATGGGGGGCTTCAGTCTGCACTTTTGACTTCCAAAAGCTCTGGACTGAGCTATCAATTCTCTTAAAAACAGGTGATTATTTGATCATGATACAGTAGGTGATCTTTCTCTGGGTTGCGCTTCATTTCTCTAACCTAACCTCTCACAATTCTAGGGAATTCACAAAATAAAATGCAACCAGATATGAAATAGGTGTGGGCGATATACCGGTACACACGATTAACCAGTAGACATTTGTCAACCCGTAGAGATTTTCGATTATGGTCTCTATCGCAGCAACACAATTATATGACGTTGCTGTGCTACACACGTTTTTAAGCATTGCAGTTTAAAAACAAGTGATTTAAAGCCGTTGAAACAATCAGCAGCGAAAGAGAACTCATTTCGCTATAAACACCTTAATAACACTATTATCGTTGTGTAGCATTTTGCGCACATGGCAGTGGTAAAGCGTTTGATGGCAAACAAAATTCCATTAAAACAACTCTCTCCCACCAGTCCTTACTTCGTACTCTCATCAAGCACCATCCAGTAGAGTTTGTCGCGGAGGCATGAATGAAATGTTGCCGAATGAAAGGGAAGAGGAGGACTGTTGCTGGAGAATTTGTATCCGCTGTCGTCTGTTTGCATGTATAGAATGACAATAATTGCACTTGAAAATGGAACACCCAAAACTGTTTATGGTACCATAACGAAAACGAATTGCATGCAGATACGTGAAATTCTGGAGGGGACGTAATGACGTGTACCATTAATCAATCTATGCACTATAACATGTAAAAAGGGAACAAGAAAGGAATATTCTAAAAGCAACTCATGTAAACACCTTAATCATAATATTGTCATATTGAGAGAAAAGTAAATAATTCGATTACTGATGTCCATGTAAACGTACTCGCTGTTTCTGAGCGCTGTCAGAGAGGCGCGAGCACGTGAAGATGGGGCTCATAGAACGTAGGAGTATTAAGTTATTTTTGCCACTTTATAGGCCTTGAACGGTTAAATACACACACTTTTATGTGCAAAAATGCCCGTCTTTGCAAGTATCCTCATAAACACAGTAATTTAGGTCTTAAGTGAAAGCAAACAGCTGAGAAAAAACACATGTGTAACAGTATATTGAATCTGGGCAGCTCTTAAAGTGACAACAGTCTAATATTCCTGCTGTCTGTCATTCATGTTAATCAAACAACAAAAGAGAGAAAATCTCTCACTGCTCTTTAAAAAAAATCACTTTTGTAAATTTAATAAGAATATATATTTAATTAACAAAGTTAAGAATATGTGTTTTTATACCTTTGGTTACTTTATACAATACATGTAGCATTTCTTATTTATTTGTTCTACTGTTTTTTTGTTCTGTTGCTTGTAATTAGTTTCTTATTCTTATTTAATTGCTGACTGTTTACTTGTCTTCAGTGAGCTTGTTTTTTTATTTTATTTAGGTTAGTAGTTTTTTGTGATAATGACACTGGTAACAAGAATTATGAAATTTCTATGGTATCAAAAATTTTCTGATATCATAAAGAACTTATTTAAAGCAAAAATAACTATATTGTGATATACATCTTTACTATGAAATAAAATTACTCGTATCACATTATGAGATTTTGGTCATATATAATATGAAACCAATATGAAACCGTTTCTGATAGTTATCAACTCTCTCTCTCTCTCTCTATATATATATATACATATTAGTGCTGGGCAAAAATTTATTTTTTTAATCGCATGATTTTTCTGCGATTAATCGCATTGTTATGCACAAAATTCAATAATGAATTCAAAAGTTAGTGCTGGGCAAAAATTTATTTTTTAAATCGCAATTAATCGCATGATTTTTCTGCGATTAATCGCATTGTTATGCACAAAATTCAATAATGAATTCGGTTTTTATAGAGAATATTTTATAGTTATAGAAAAACAAGTTATGCTCTTGTCCAGAGCCTCCATCATAACATTATAACAGACACCTTCCGAGTAAAGACCTGCACTATCGCAGGACCCAACGCAACAGAGTGAATTTGATCAAAAACACAGTAAAAAAGTGGAATATTATTACAATTTAAAATAACAGTTTTCTATTGTAATATACTTTAAAATGTAATTTATTTCTGTGATGCAAAGCTGAATTTTCAGCATCAATATTGCAGTCTTCAGTGTCACATGATCCTTCAGAAATTATTTTAATATGCCGATTTGCTGCTCAAGAAACATTCCTTATTATTGTCTTAAAAACAGTTGTACTTCTTAATATTTCTGAGGAAAGTGTAATACATTTTTGTTAATGATTCTTGGAAGAATATAAAGGAATATAAATATTTTGTAACATTTGTAACAGACTTTGCCACAGATTTTAATGAATCCATGCTGAATACTGAAGTTTTTTTTGTTGTCGTTTAAACTGACCTCATACTTTTGAACAGAAGTGCAAATCTGATATCTGAAAATGTATCTGATTAGGGTCAGGTGAACCAGAAAAAATCTCAGGGTGTATTCAGACCTGTCTTGCTTGATTCGACTGAATCAAACTCAAGTTCGTTTCCAACCTTGGTGCAGATCTTTTGGGCAGATGTGAATACAGCAATCGCACTCGGGTGTGGACCAAACAACCGTACTGAGACCCAGCTGAAGAGGTGGTCTCGGTCCGGCTCCAAACGAACTCTGGTAAGGTTGAATGGATGAACCAATGAATGGATGACCTTAGCACATGTCTGGTTTTGTTTACTATTTCTGGTTCACTTGCAAAAAGGGCAGTGTGAAAGCGAACCACACCAAAAAAAATAAAATAAATAAAAAATATTCATTATTCATTGTATTTGGTCTAGACCAAAGCAAGTGATCTAGCGAACTTTCCAGGTGTGAATACACCCTCAGTTATACAGGTCTTGCTTAACACAATTAACTGCATAGCAGTTCAGGCAACCCACTGACCAGCTGGCTTTAAAATATATAGTTTCGCAAGCCTCTAATGAGGAGCAACGTGTAAATTGTTAAGCATTAATAGAGTTTTGAATTCCAAATCATAGTCTTCTCGCAACTAGTTAACTTAAATGAATTGGTTCAAGTTCTCCACATTAGATTACACACAGAGAATACTTCATTACATTGAGGCAACCTTAGGGTTTACAGTGCTCCAAGCGCACCGACTGCAATAATCTACAAGCCCATTACACATAAACACAGACAACTGAGCATCTGGTGAGAGAGAACGAGTGAAACAGCATCTGAAAATGAGGGTTGCAGAAGTGGTGCTCTCAGAAAACGCTCTCTCACAAGAGAGATTCACACAATCTGCCACAGAGAGAAAAAAACACGCACACACGTAGACACAGAGAGAGAAAAAAAAACACTCTCTCACAGACAAAAAACCCAATTTCTGCATGCTACCACAACCACAACTGTGGGACGAGAGAGGAAAATGAATGGCCTCCCAAAATAGGAACAAAACAAAAACATTTTAAAGGGATAGCTCACTCAAAAATTTTGTTCCAAACCTGTATGACAGTCTTCCTGTTTACAATGACTTTTCATTCTTTTTACATCACAATGGATGTGAACTGAACCCTTCAAGCTTCAAAATTGACATAAAAGTGTCTTACAAGTGGTTTTTATGACTTATATGCCAATTCTACTGAAGTCATATGACAGCTTTGTTTGAGGAACACATCGAAATTCATTATTTACTGATAATTTTCCCTCACGTACAATCTGTTTAGTGTCATAAAATTGAATTTGTCGGTTTGATCGGTTTTGTGAACGGCTTATATGTTGGTCTATTACTCACAAAAAAAGTATCGGATGACTACAACAAACTAGGAACAGTATTATGATTCTTTTTTGAAGTTTGAAAGCCTCAGTCACTATTTATTGTAATTAAAAGAAAATGAGCGACCAGAACATTCTTCACAATTTCTCTTTTTGTGTTTCACAGAAAAATGAAAATCATACAAGTTCATAATGATATAATGTCAATGTCAATTTTTGGGTGAAATATGATGAGCGGTTCTCAACTGGTATGTCTTTTCTGATGGGGTTGCAAACAGAAGTGAAAATGCAATGTTAAATGCAAATAACAACAGAATTGTGCATAGTTTGTGTAGAAAAATAAACAAGCTTATCAATTTTTAAGACGGAGGAGAAAGCACTTCCCAAATCTTTTTACTATTGCCATCAAAGGCTGTGTGACTAATCAAACTCTACGGTATTTCAGCACACATTCATCTCTAACTTTGTAGAAGCCAGCCAAATTTAACAGATGCCAATATGAGCGGCTTACACATGCCCTCATTCTGAAAACCATGGACAAAACTAAGCAAGGTAAAATAAAAGTGTTAGACACCACGAAAAATCAGTTTTGGGTTCAACTGTTGAGTCCCAACTTGATGTCCAATGCAAAGTCCTGAAGCAAAACCAGTTGAGAACCACCTGAGAAGCACTGTGGTCCATTACAAGACAGAAAAGTACAGAAGAGTAGGTAGATAAAGAACAGAGTCTCACCAGTCCGGTGGCAAAAAACACGGCAAGCAGAGCCAGGCATGCTCCCATGACGATGAGCAACAGGAACACGATGAGCGGATGCTGCTGGCTCATACGGTAGTAGGACTCGTACACCCAGTCTGGAGACTTCAGCCCCCCGGACGACGCCACCATGTCCTCCGGACCCTCCAGCAGGTACGCCGTCTGTTGGAACATGGGGTCCGGCTGGACCCCGGAGCCTTCGTCCTCGTCCTCTTCCTCCTGCTGCTGCCGTTCCGGCTCGTCCTCCTCCGTGAGAGTGCTCAGCTGTGGCGGGTGGGACAGATGCGACCTGCGCCAGGGCAGGAGAGAGAGCGCTGCTGCACGCAGCATTCTCCAGCCAACATGATGAACTGAGCAGCAGAGAGCGACTGAGACACACACGAGAGCACGTGAGAGTAGGAGAGAGACGGAGAGAGAGAGAGAGAGAGAGAGAGAGAGAGAGAGGAGAACACGAGTGTTTGTTTGACAGAGCGCAAGCTCTTAGTACTACTGACTTCATAGAGTCTGTGTCGGAGAAAGGAAGAGAAAGTCTTCAAAAGAATGTGAAGGGAAGAGAAGAGGAAAAGGGAGGAGAGAGGAAAGGGAGTGGTGGGCTTGACAGAGATCCAGCAGGCGCAGTATAATGTTTGCTATGCAGCGCGTGGCAGGTTCAATGATATGAGTTAATCAGAGATGACTGATTAGACACCCAGAGGAAAATGTGTCGCTCAGATGTTGCTCTTTCATAGCTCAGGAGACTTTCGCATAGTTATGCTTCACTGAAGTATCAACTCTGATTCTTCAGATATTTCTTGGGTGGAATTCCTCGAGTAGAAAAAAAAAATATATATAAATAAATAAATGAAAAGAAATAATGTTAATATAAACAAATCTACATCTAAACATTATAAATGATATATAATATAATAATATAAAATTCCTTAGATAGATAATTACATATATATAAAATTTAAAAATAAATAAAATAATAGCTAGTGTAGGTAAGATAATTTGTTCTTGGAAGAATTTGATAAAAAAAAAAATTTAATTCATACTGATGAACTGATTTCAGATTTTTGAGAACCTTGGCACAGTTCAAGACATTGAAAAATCTAGTATGAAACTCTAGGAGACAAATATGAGATTTAAGAAAGACTGCCTCAGAGTAAAAAAAAAATAATAATAAAATAAAAAAGTTAATTATGATTTCTGTCATGACATCTCCCGGAGGGATTGACATGGTAATGTACATGACAATGTTAATGTATTTGGTCTTGGCGGAATAGATCTGCTACGACTTGCTACTGCCAATACATCCACAACATACTGCTGCCAGCATGTAAGAAATATTGCTGCTGCAAATATAACATACATGAAATAACCCCCATATAGCATACATGAATCACCTCGTAGCAGATCTATACAGGTGGAGCTGGGGAAGGTGGAGGGTTTCTGTCGCAAACTGCTACGGCAAGCACTAATCATATATTTGAATGTTGAGCAGCGAGCTCATTGGCTACCAATACAGGAGAGAACCAATCAGCTGTGCCATGTGATAATGATGTCATTAGGTCAGATTGAGTTAGACCTATCGGACTGCGCCATCTAGAGTTTCATGCCAGAACTCTGTATTTGTTTCTTAACTTTGAGACTTTCGATAGTTTTGTATCTCACAATTTTATATACAAAACAACTATATTTCTTTAACCTTTTCCACACAATTACTTTTTAATATGTTGGCTTATAAATTAGATCTATTTCTCAGGAATAAAATCTCAGAAGCAGCAGCCGTTCGCTAAAGTCTCCATTTGCTCGATATAATCTCATCTGCATCTGCAGTCTAGGAGAAACAATGGGGGTATTAAAGAGCTCTCCTTCATTTTCCTTTCCTATGGGGAGAGACTTACAATAATAACAGCATTAATGAATTAAAAACCAAAGACAACAGACTGGTTGAGAAGAAAGGAGAGGAAACAGGAAACATGATAAAACATTTCCTTGTAGCTCCTGTCTCCAAAAAGGACAGGATTCAAGATCCTTGTTGGTCCTGGAATAACATTCCTGTCAAGGTTTAACTTTAAAGTCAAGCTGTCTTTGCTCACCTCGCAACCCAACCTATACTTTGCTTCTTATTTTCGAGGCAGCTAATGCTTAGAAATAACAGATAGGGTTAGGACTTGACAGAAGATGCAGGAACATGTCGTACATGTTAAAATCACAGTCACCAGCTGTTGCTCTTTTACTTGCGAGTCTCTCAGAAGACTCTCCTTATGTATTAAGTAATCCTGTTGTATTCCAAAAGGTCTTGTGAAGCTGTGAGGGGTGACTGTGATTACACTCTCCAGAGGTAATTAGACAATAAATGGTCTGCTTCAGTTGAGTCAGCAGCCGCGCCGTTCAAGAGCTCTGTGAAGAGAGAAACTCCCAGATCTTCTCATCGTCTCAAGTCGATGCCGCCCTTGCAAAAGAAAGACACAGATTGTTCAAATAACATGAACATGATTGAAACGTCTTTCACCTCACTATTAACAAAATAGCCATTATAGCTGCCCACCAGCACTGTTACGAGAGACACTTGAGGTGAGAGTGCACTTGTGGGTGAAATCATGGCAATCAATGAAGACAGCTGAAGTGAATAATTCAGAACTGAATTATTGAATCAAATAATACAGGACTATATTCCATACGCTCATTTTCCCCCTTGACATGAAATAGAAAATAGAGGAATATAAGGGTAATAGATCAAAGAGAAATCAGATCTGTAGATGTCAGAACCCACCAAACCTACAGGTATAAAACAAATGCAAATTTGACTCTACGCATGACAGGTAATCATATCTATAATAGATGATCTAAATTCATGTCATCCATACTAGACTTTTGTGGCATAGTGGATAAAGCTCATTGAAGATAATCCGTACATTTCTGCAAAATTTGAGCCTTGTCCAGAGGGTTTTTCTCTTTGAAACATATACAGAAATTCACTTATGATACATATTACTATTCAAAAGCTGATTGGAGTCAGTAACATTTTTTAAATGATTTTTAAAGAAGTCTCTTATGCTCACCAAGCCTCCATTTCTGTGAAAAAAAAATGCAGTAAAAACAGTAATATTGTGAAATATTATTACAATTTAAAATAACTGCTTTCTATTTGAATATATTTTATGGAAAATAGTGATGGAAAGCTGATTTTTCAGCATCATTACTCTAGTCTTCAGTGTCACATGAAGTCACTCTAATATACTGATTTGCTGCTCAAGAAACATTCCTGATTATTATAAATGTTGAAAACAATTGTGCTGCTTAATATTTTTGTGGAAATCGTAAAAAATAAATATTGGACAAGTTCAGCATTTATTTGAAATATAAATCTTTTGTAACAGATCTTTACTGTCACTTTAGAAGAATCACTACTGTATAAAAGTATTAATTTCTTCAAAATAAATAAATAAAATATACAAAAATCTTACTGACCTCAAACTATTTAATGCTAGTGTCTACTAACATACTCATCCTTGCTCCTTGTCTTATTTGCTTGTACTGCTCCTCCAAAACTTCTGCTTGTTATTGTCAGCCAAATCGCCATGCCAGAAAGGACCTGAAGAATTGAGATGAAATACTGAGACAATCTAAGTTCCCTTTCGATACTTCACTTGTACTGTGTCTGCTTAAGACGCATATGGGAAAAAAAGCATTTTTTCTCCTGAACTGAAGCCTTTTCATTCACGCAGTGAAACTGCACGGCCATTGGGCGGGGCATCTGGCTATATAAGCGGGCGCACGCCACAGGATTCTCAGATTTCTTCTCCTTCAGCGACGACTCTACGCTCATCACTGATCCTGAAAGCCTGCTCGCCGTTGACACGCCTTCGCAGCTGGAATCGGGACCTCTCAGCACAGCTGACCTGCTTCTCCGCCGCTACAGCGACGCAGCAGTTCCGGTCCGTTTCCCCTGCCGCCATCCGGCGATTCTAAAAGAGCTTATTTCTAGCAGGTAAGCCCTAAAAGAGCAAATTCTAGCGACGTTGTTGCAAATGTCGCTCTGCGAGTGTGGCTCGTGCAGGGAAACTTGCACGATGCAGAAGAGCAATGAGTATGTCATCTGTCTGGGCAGACCCCACGCAGAGACTGCGCTCTCACTGAGACGGAATGCTCACTCGAGCATGAGTCTCGCCATTCTCCACTCGTGGACCGCCTTCACTGGAGGCAGCCCCGCTCTCCCGTTTCTCCTCTCTCAGCGAGCCTCGGAGCATGGCTAGCAACGCAGTACTCGTTCCCGTATCTCAGCGGTCCGCCTCCACTGGAGACAGCCCTGCTCTCCCGTTTCTCCTCCCTCAGCGAGCCTCGGAGAGAGAAACAGCGGAGTCAGGGAGCTAAGCAACCGGGTCTGACTGATCTCATGCCGGCGCTGTGCCTGCATGCTCTCTCTCCATTGCACTCGGATCTGCCGCAGAAGGGCAGTGAGCTACGCGCTTACTGAGACTTTACCACAAAAGCAGTCTGCCCCCGTTCTTTCTCGGAAGGCGGCCCCGCCTCCCCGCGCTCATGTTTCTTTCCTCCCAGCTACCTCGGAGGAAGCAACGACGAGCTCGCGGGTTGAACGATCAGACTTGAGCAATCCTCTACACACCTCATTATACGAGTAGCTTAATCCTCCCAGGCAGATCAAAGCACAAACACGGGCAGCTTCGCATTGGTGTGTGAGTCGCTAAGCCCCGCATCCCCCGCTCTGGTGTTTCTCTCCTCCCAGTTACTCTGAGGCAGAAATGGCAAACTCGCGGGTATGATCGATCAGGCTTGAGTGATTAAAGCCGGCAAGGCCCCC